AAACAAAATAATTACTTTTTGGTTTTAGTCTTTTCCTTTTATGTTTAGGGATGCCACGGGAAAATATTTCTCACAAAGGGCTGTGTGACCTCTCCTTTGCTGTCTGCTTCTGTCCCTTCTGGGTGCATTTTTGCCCAAGTTTTGCTCCTGGTAAAGTCTCTCTTCTTGAAGGAGTAGCTGCCAGGCAGCCTTATTCCTACACTGTGCCGACAGGTGAACACTGGATGGTTATTCCCACTTCCATGGCTTTGTTGTTGGCAACCCCTTCATCCTTTTGTTCCAGTCATCTCTTCTTCCTCAAACTGACTCCAAAGACTGGGGGAAACAAGCTGGCTTTGGGGGATCAGGTAATTATCCTCCCTGTCCCTTAGCATTAATGAGAGAAAGCCCTCCTAGATGTTCCTTTTACAGGAGACCAGTGGAGGATCTGGCTGTCTTGGGCCTTTGCCACTTTTTTTTTGTAGCACCTCAACTCTGTTTGAAAAGTGCGTTCAGAGGCAGAAACATGAGTAGAAGTTGAATGAGGATAAATCTGCTGCTCTCTGCTCTGGAACCCTGGTGTGCTGTCAAAAGGAGAGACAGTGCTAAGCAAGTAGAAGGTATTTTCAGGAAAATAGCCAACTATTTCCTTCTTCTGACCAGGGTGCACCTGAAAACCTGCAGCCAATGTAGATAGAAGAGTGTGGGTCTCCAGGCTGAGTGGCAGAGCCCGAAGGCTCTGCGATTCCTTCTTGTCCAGCAAGGCTTCGCTGCAGGAAATATTTGCACTGTCATTGTGAGTTGTGGTGTTTAATTTTAGTGAGAATGGGACCACGTACCGTGGGAAAACCCCTTCCTGCCTTCCACACAACAGATGGCATCCTGGTCTTGTTCCCTCTCCGTCTCTTCATCGGTAGTTGGGTTGTTGAGCTCTTGCTGCAGTTATGGGAAGTCTCCTTTACCTCTTGTGTTAATCTTCTACCACACACTGTGTCTTAACCACAGAAGTGCTGTCTGTGCCTGTAGTTGAAGCAGCCATTACCATCTGGCTCCTGAATGTCCTGCTTCCCTATGTGACATGTCACCGCCGGCACCTTCAGTTGTAGATTGCACTGTCCTGCTTTGCAAAGCTTTTCATCCTTTTTATAGAATCCGTGCTGGAGGCATCCAAGCGGCTGCCAAGATGGCAGAGTTAGTGGTGCAAGGAGCAAAATGAGCTGTATGACCATGTTACCCCATCCTCAAGGCAGGGTTGGTTTAATTTGGCCCCAACATCACGCTGACAGTTGCATGGGATTCATTTCTGCTCGTCCTGCTGGTGCCACTTGGCACTCTGAACTGTTGCACTGGATGGACCTGATGGACATGGTATTTTTTTCTGCCATATGGTCTTCATCCACCTCTGGAGATACCTACTCTGGTTGCTTCCACTTTTGAGAGAGTTTTCTTCTAAATCAGCAGACTCATAAATCCATCATTTCCTTTTCTGCTGACAGAACCTGCAGAAAACCTCTTGGTCTCCAGCTTCCACTTCCCAAAGCTGCTGTCTTGATGTCCTTCAGGAATGCAACACATTTCCATGTGTCTTTTTAATATCCAGTGTTCTTACAGGAGTTTAGTGCTCCATGCATGCAGTGGACTATCACAAAGTGAACTTAACAGCCTGGCTTTCCCATGAGTTTCATGGGAAACTTGTTCATCCTGGGGAGGGTTCCAGGGAGATCTTAGAACAGCTTCCAGTACAAGGGGCTCCAGGAGAGCTGGAGAGGGACTTTGGACAAGGGCCTGGAGGGACAGGACGAGGGAAAATGGCTTTGAGCTGGAAAAGGGTAGATTTAAGTGGGATGTTGGGAAAGAATTCCTGCCTGTGAGGGTGGTGAGGCCCTGGCACAGGTTGCCCAGAGAAGCTGGGGCTGCCCCATCCCTGGAAGTGTCCAAGACCAGGTTGGATGGGGCTTGGAGCAACCTGGGCTAGTGGAAGGTGCCCCTGCCTATGGCAGGGGATTGGAACTGGATGATCTTTAAGGTCCCTTCCAACCCAAGCCTTTCTATGATTCTTTCTATTATTCTATGAAACCAAAGGCAGCACCAGCTCTGTTGACAAGCAGGTCAGTGAACTCTGCCTAGTTTTGGATCCTGACCCTTCAGTGCTCGGTGAGCAGAGGTGTCCTCTGTCCCACATAGCTGGGATTAGTCTTTAAGCTTGGGTTGAGTAGCTTTTGCTTAAGCCTTATTTTATAAAACTCGACTTGCAGGTTTGAGACTTTTTATCAAGAGGATGGGATTTCTTTCATCTCATTCGAACTCTCATGATATGCTTAAGTATTTTCTGGGAAAGACAAGGAGAATTGGTAGATGGTTGGAACGGTTGCCTAAAATGGTGCTTTTCATCCGAAGATTTTTTGGGAAGGCCTTTTTTTTTTTTTTTTCCCTCATTTCACTGCAAGAATTTCGAAGGGATTTGCAAAGTTGTTTCTTTATAACTTAAAGTTTGAATTGTTTCAAAGGTTTAGTCAAAATGTAGGATGTTATGTAGTGGGTTAGTTTATTGGGGATCTCTTGGGTTTTAATTACACATGACCCCTTTCCTGGTATTTTTCTTTAGGAGCAGAAGCCACTCCAGACTCAGTTCCTGCAAACTCCATTGTACCATTCCATTTTCTGTTTGGGTGCCACGTCTTTCTGGTGACAGGAAAGAGGAGAGCACAACCAGAGCCCTTGAGGCTGAAAACTGTGCTGGACAGGTTGTGTGTGTCTCACCGCTCCCTTGGAGGAGGTGAATGTGGGGCTGCTGGGTTGGTTTGGTTGCAAAACCAAGACAGCAGTGTTCGTGCCTGTGAATGCTTTTTCTATTTGCAATTGTGTGATTTTGAAACATTATATTAGTGCAGAGAGGGACGGGTCTTGCCTTGGAGAATTTCGTGCCAAACACCTGGACCTGTGTTGAACCACGGGGAAGTTTAGACCTTGGAAGAGTCCACCACAGTGACATGTGTTAGTGAGCACAACAGCAGATACCTGATTTGCTACTGAAGAGGTTCCAAGTCGCCTTCCTTTCTTCTGTACTTTGCAGACACAGATTTAGAGTCACAGAATCACAGAAGGGTTTTGGGTTGGGAGGGACTTTAAAGACCATCTCGTTCCAACCCGCTGCCATGGGCAGGGACACCTTCCACTGGACCAGGTTGCTCCAAGCCCCGTCCAACCTGGCCTTGAATACTTCCCTTTAGTTTCAACTTTGATCTGAAACAATCCCACTCGCTGTGAGTTGGGAGTTTTCAGGCTGGTTTTTTTCCCACTTTCATTGTTTTTTCGAGACTTCTTCCCACAGTCTTGGTGTTGAACTCTCTGTCACCTTTAGCTTATCTTCCTCTGGCCTCGAACACCTCAGAGTTGCTTTCTTTTTCCCCTGTGTTAACTCCTTACTTCTCACCCTCCAGCTGCCTCCTGCAGCTGCAGCTCTCAAAATGCTTTGCAAAATATAAATCATCAGTCCTATTTTTCAGATACCTGCAGGTACTTTGTCAAAAGCAGTGGAGTTGGCTTGTCCCATGCTACCCAGGATGCCCAGTGTTGATGGCAGGAGGAGGACTAGACACCTGGTTTCATGAACCCTGTTTCTCATTTTTAATGGATTAAAAATTCCCGTTCAGACCGTCCTCCTTTGACATCTACAGAAATAGGTTGTCTGAACTGAGGTCATTTCGGGAAGGTGGCAGGAAACAAACCCAAGGAGAGGAAACCTTGCTGAAGAGTGCTCTGCCAGCAGGGCATCTCTGCTCAGAGGGGCTGTAGGTCTTGTGCCCTCAGTTGCCTTTTGTCTCATAGTTGTGTCAGGACGAGTCTCGTGTGGACATCCACCCTCCCGTCACCGGTGGGCAGAACGACTCACCTGGGAACATTGGCTGTGCTAGAGGATATGACCCCTGTTTAGGACCAAATTACAGAGATGTCTTGATGAAGAGGTTTGGTAGCTCATAATTTTTGGTTTAAACCTGCTGGAGATGTTAGAAATAAATGGAATTATGCCTCTCTGGGATGGAACCGGAAAATGCCCAGTTTGTGGCAGAGACTGGCTTAGTCTTACAGAGGGATGGTGAATTTCTGGAGAGAAGCTTTGTCCACAGCTATTTCTGGTTTTGGGTAAGGCTTAACTGAGCTGGTTGTGCCCTACGTGGCATCTTTTCAGGGTGACTTCACGAAGGGCAGACCTTCCAAACAGGCAGAGTTGGAGCTGCTCCCAGTGGGACTTGGTGGAGAGAGCCGCTATTGCGGAACGGACCTAATAGCTTTCCTGGGCTAAATTCCATCTTATGGTGCTGCCTGAGCTGGGCAAGCAGCTCCGTGGGGGACGTGTGCCATAATCCCATCTGGGAGTCGCAGAGATGACCAGCTTTTGGGCTCACAGCCATCCCAACTGTGGGGGCTTCCCCGGCTCCCTCACACTTACTGGAGCTGACACTCGTTTTCCGCTCTCCTGACCCTGGGTTGGGCACCTCTCCCTGCTGGCACCGCAGGTGCCACGATCCTCACCAACCCCCAAGACATTGGACACCTTCATCCCTCCCCCCCTAACCCCCAGGAAAGCTCTGCTAATGCTGTCCATCATGAGTAACTCTAATCCAGTCTTTATTTGGGGCTGCACCCTTGCTGGCATCTCCTCCGGCGGAGAGTATCCCGTTAGCGGTGTGACTCCCTGGCTTGCCGGGCCATCCCTCGGCCAAATTCCACTCTGGAAGTTCTCGTGGCTTTTGCAGGGAGCAAGTTCTTTGGTGTTGGGGTGGCTGGCAAGCAGGCTGGCTCTTCCTCCCCGCGATCCGTTGGCAGAGAAATTATTAGGAAGATATTAACCATATAATGTTTTGGCAGGGTGCTGGGTGGCAGCCGCCGCTGCTGCTACAGTAGGTTTAAAATAAAAATAAAAATTAAAAAAAAAAACACTTAAAAAAAGAGAAGGACAATAAAGTAGGCTTCTTTTTTTTTCGTTGGAAAAGAAGATTTCATGTTATCTGTGTTTGCAGGCTTTCTGGCTCATATGCTGGAGGAATCCTTGCTGCGGGGGTGTTTTCATTTTCTCGTCTAACATGGCAGTGGTCCATCACGGCGGAGGTTTTCAGCTTAAACAATCTGTTTGTGGGGCTGCTGATGGCTCTCACTGCTCATTTTGAGGAGGCATCCACTGCAAAAGAGAGATCAAAGGTAAAACATCTCAAGCAAAGTGAATAGTTCTTTATCTTTTGTTAATTAGTTGTCACCTGTCTGTTTAATTTCCTATTAGTTTATTACTGGGTTAGTTATGTTTAAATAAAAAGGCCAAATTTTGGGACCTGGTTCATCACCTGTGCTGGGTGATGTCCATTCCTGACCTACCTGGGTGTTCAAAAGTGCCAAACATTGAAAAAACCCTGTACACTTTGTTTAAGGATTGAGTTGGGACCTGTTGGATGCATTTGGGGCTGGTTTATTTAATACTCTCGAGGTGGAAATACGAAAAGCAAAACCATTTTTATATCGATATTTTAGTTCATCCTGCATCGAAGACACAAACTAGGCTGTGGGTGTTCAGGGTTTTGTTTTAAGAACTGATATTTTCCTTTGGGGTAAATAGATGTATTTTACAGAAAACTTCATCTAGTCAGAAACCCAGGTTTCTACTCAAAAACAGAAGCGGCCAAATTTTCAGTCAATTTTTCTTTTGAAATTAAATGCGCCCCTAAAATAATGCCATTGTTAAACACAGAGACTTTAAATTTCATGCTTTATTCTCTACTTTATAAACAGACTAGGCAGCCAAATGATATTTTTGCTCAGCAGTCTTGTTCTTTCTACTGTTGTTTGCCTGAACATCTGATCTCTTTTCCTCCGACAGACTTGCCTGCTGTGACTCCTGTAAATTGTGTGAATAAAAGGATTTTTGTCAGGCTAGGCTAGAATTTCAGGAGTCTGCAGTGGTAGTTTACTCAGCTTCGTGAGTTCTCAAATAACATGTTTTGTCAATGGTTACAGAGACCTTGGATTTTTTTTTTTTTATCTTCTAACGAGCAGTGCCCCGAGATCCCCACAACCTGAACTCCACAGACATGGAGCTGGGCGTTTTCCAACCTGCTCCCATGTTTCATGTGCCCGATTTCCAATGGGATTTTCAAATGAGATTTTCAGAAGCAGTTAAGGAGCTTGTTTCAGTGGTATTTTGGGTGTCTGGCATCCCACGCCTCAAAGAAGCCAGGCTGCCAACAGCAAGCTCGTGGTGCTTTTCATAAATCAGATGGTCATACAAACATCTTCAGGGCTGTGCTTGGGGTTCGTCAATATACTTAAAAAATCATTGAGGGGGTTCTGAGACCTGCCAGGTAGCTTTGAAAAGATTTTTCTGAAGTTATGGCAGGTGTTTTCATGGCAAGGCAGCATCCAACATGGAATGCTGAGCAGTTAATTAATAATTACGGGGTGATCCCATCACTACACCAAGGCAGGTGTTTGCATCTCACAAACCACCCCCACCAGTGCCTGAAATAAGCAGGAGAGGTTTAAGTTGGATATTAGGAAAAGGTTCTTCATCCAGAGGGTGGTTGGACACTGGAACAGGCTCCCCAGGGAAGTGGCCACAGCACCTGTCTGAGTTCAAGAAGTATTTGGACAGTGCTCTCAGGCACATGGTGGGATTTTTGGGGATGTCCTGTGCAGGGCCAGGAGTTGGGACTCAATGATCCTGATGGATCCCTTCCAACTTCAGGATATTCTGTGGTTCTGTGGAAGTGCTGTCCTCCTTTGGGAAGGTGAGGATGGGTTGTCTGCTCCTGTCCATGGGACTCTGGTGGCTTTTTGCCCCCTGAGGAGCTGCCCTTGGTGTGGCTTCAGAGTGTAACGTGGACCAAACGGGCAGTGATGGTGGAGAAGGAGGCAAATTCAGAGGAGGAGCAGTGATGTAGGTGGCACTGACCCAAGGATTCTATATGGAGTTGTTCTTGTTGCCTTTCTCAGTGAATATCAGAAATCCCCTGCACTGTGCTCCATAGTCTGGATGCATTACCTGTTTTATCATAAAACTCTTTTAAAGATGCTTGAAATTGATCTTTTAGATGAATGAAGGATATCAACCTTAATTCCCTTTGCTTAGGAATTTTGTGTAGCCTCTGACTTTAGCCCTCTGTGCCTAAAAAAGAGTTAAAAATCATTCCTCTTGCGAAAAATGAGGTCTCTGTAGATAATGGTATTATTTCAGGGTATGACTTCTGAAAAAAACTGCGTCATTTGGAGTTCACTGTTCCCTGTACAGCCTCCCCTGTGCAGCTGGGGTTTGGGAATTGGATTGGACTCATCGTTAGGATGTGATGATGCTACATGGGATCTCGTGTGTGCATGGAGACCTAGCAGTTAAACTGGACACTTCTTAAAGAATATTTTCTGTTAATCAAATGAAATCTCTCTATAAATAACCAAAAATAACCTGTGATCTGTGTTACAACCTACCAGTGCTCGCTGATGTATTTGCCTTTCTCTTCTAAGGGTGCTGTGGGCCGCGCTGAAGCTTTTTTTGGTCTCTGGGTGTTTTTTTTTGTCAACTGTAAACAGTGATTGTGGATGTTTTTTTTTTTTCTCCCCTCTCAGATCTCTAAGCTTGGTGCCTTTTGCTGTGGGCTCAGTCTGTGCAATCAGCACACCATAGTGCTTTACATCGCTTGCATCGTGCCTTGGGTTCTCGCCCGGCTCTTCAGAAAGTCGGTACGTGTTTTTCCTGACCCTGTTTTTCTGAGGCAGTGGGTAATTCTTCTATCCAAGCCCCGTTGCCACCTCTGTGTTGATCTACAAACAGGGAGAGTCAATAGTCTGTCTGAACTTGTTGTTCATAACCCCCTGAAGTTACAGCTCACCTGTCTGACACCAGAGCCGCTGATCTAAAGGGGGCCTGGTTTGAAGGGGGCCTCCAGGAATGCTGGAGAGGGACTTTGGACAAGGGCATGGAGTGACAGGACAAGGGGGAATGGCTTTAAACTGAAGGAGGGCAAGTTTAGATTTAGATATTAAAGAGAAATTGTTGGCTGTGAGAGTGGTGGGGCACTGGCACAGGCTGCCCAGAGAAGCTGTGGCTGCCCCATCCCTGGAAGTGTTGCAGGACAGGCTGGACAGGGCTTGGAGCAACCTGGGATAGTGGAAGGTGCAGGGGGGTGCTTGGAACTAGATGATCTTTAATGTCCGTTCCAACCCAAATTATCAATGATTCTGTGATCACAATTTAGGAGCTTTGCTTGTGCCAGCAATCTGTGACCCACTTGTGTCTCCTGGCACAGGAACACTCTGCCCCAGCTATTTGCGAATACCCTGTAAGCTAAAATAACACTGGGACCTAAAAACTGCTCAGCCTGTAGGAAATAAGGGCAAGTTCAATGACCTGCCAAACGGGAGAGCAGATAAATATCTGCTGGTGAGAGTCACAGGCACGCCCAGTCTGTGTGTGCTGCTTCTCCTGACTGGTGGCACTGGCTTTCTCAGACCATGAGCTCACCTGGAGGTGAGTTTCTGTATGCTGGCTCCCTGGTGATAGCAGGGATGCTCATGGCAGAGCATCTTCTGACTCCTGTTAATAGCTGAAGGTGCAGCCAGAACAAGCAGCACAGCATGAAGGGCACGGAGGTTTGTCTTCCCTTGGCATGTGCCAGGCTCGATGGCCTCCAGCTCTGATGTATCCAGGACTTTAGGAGCCCTACAAGAGATCAGCTCTCAGGTGAAGACCTGGAGAGGACCAAAGCAAGCCTCTGATCCCCTCAAATCTATCCCCTCTTCAAGATGGCCCTTCTTTTACGCCTCTTTATGAAACTTGATCGTTGTGTAAGAAGGTGAAAACACATTTTTGCACTCCTGGTGTTTGGAGGTGACGTGGATGAGGATCCTGGGTGACAGTCAGGGACCCTGCCATGCTCCTGTCTGCTATGGCTGGTTTTCTATGGGTCAGTGCACCAGGCTGGGTGCAGATGTGTTGCAGGAACTCTACTTTGCCCATGAAACAGCGGCACACCTCAGCAATGCAGGTGCTCTGACCATTTTGGAATTGGCTCTGGGAAGCCTCCACCTACTTCCCCCTCTCTCTTTCCTCCCTGTTAGGGTGACAGCTGGGCAGGTGGCTGCCAGGCCAGTCCTGCCTGTGTTTTTCTCCACCCTCAACCAGATAAATCCCGTGTGGTTCTCAGAAATGGCACAGAGTGAAGCATTTGAACTGCAGGAGATGCGATGCAACTCAGAGTAGCTTGATCCAAAATCTTTTCAGCACCTCCAACAAACCTCTTTCTGGCTACGTAATTCCCTTAACACGATGAAGACTCACTTCTGCAATATATTTGTGTTCTTTAAACAGAATTTTTAATTTTTTTTTTTTTTTTTTTTTAACCAGGGAGGTCCAGAGAGGCCTCTGTGATTTCCAGCAAGGACAATGCTGTGCCAGTATAATAATCCCGGGAAATGCTTTAGGCAGCCCAGTAGTGCCTGCTACCAGAAAACCACTTAATAAGAAGGATAATTGATGGAAAACTGCCTTTTTAAAGTAAAAATGAGCCACCTTTCTTCTGAAGAATCTGGCCACCACCCTTATCAAGCTTCTTTTTCTGCTCCAGAGATCATCCCTCTGAATTGGTGCCTCTTCCCTGTAACCCCAGATGCTGAGGAAGTGCTTTGATTGACAGGGCAGTGGCTAACGATAAAGCCAGCGTGCAATATTCAAGGGTGGGATTTTCCAAAGCACTTAAAGGAGTTAGGCACAGAAGTCCCTTTGAAAGTCTTGTCTTCCTGACCCCTTAGGCAGTCTCGAAAATCCCGCCCCAAAAGTTGGCCTATCCAATTTAGCCACTGTAATCACGATGAAGTGAATGGCAAAACTGACTCCTGATGATGGTGGTGATGTGTGTAGTTGTACTGGAGCAGCATTTATGTGGGGTGTGTTTTTTTTGCCAGATGGAATACCAGCCAACTCTTAATCGCTGCAAAGTGGGTTATCTCAGCCTTGCAGTGCTTCAGCCATCTATGCATGTCATGCCATGATTTAAATGTGAAAGATGCAATGAGTATGATACTCATGAGTCCTAGCTAATATTATTTGCTTCACTTAAATTTCACCCTGCCATGCAAAGGAGATCAGTTTGATGCAGTTTCCTGGTAATCCACAAAATCGTAAGGTTTAACATAGCATTTTGTAGGGACTTACTATAAATTGAGAGATCAGCTCTGTGTAAATATATTTGATGTTGTTTTTTTTTTTTTTCTTTATCTGTTCTTGAAGTTCCAGCATGATTAAACTAAAATAAACATTGTTATGCAATATGACATATTTTGGTGCAGGAATTGTCCCCGGGCCATTTGCTGAAGTTGGGTTTATGCTTCTTGGCTGGTTTGCTGCCTTATCTCTATCTGCCGGCTTCGTCCTACCTCAATCGAGCCCGTTGGACATGGGGAGACCAGACGACTCTTCAAGGATTTTTGACCCACTTTCTCAGGGAAGAATATGGGACATTCAATCTGGTAAACAAGGGTCATTTTCTAAAATGACTTTCTTTTTGACTTACGCAACCATTCCCTGTGACGATTAAGGGCTTGCGGGGGAAAGGAATTGAAAATGTTTTATTTGTTAAGCGTTTATTTCTGATTTTGACCTTCCGACCAGTCAGGTTTTCTGGGGAATGGATCAAGTGGCCGGGAAAGCAAAAAGATAATTCTCTTTGCCTCCGTGGGGTGAGCCATGTTATTTCCTGGGAGCTGTCTGGTGTCTCGTGTATGTAAGAGCCCAAAGAGCAAACTGTGCTAGAGGGAGATGGTGACATCAATTTTGTGCTTTTCTTGTTTTAAGACAAACGTTGCCTTGTTTCTGTATTTTTAACTCAGACGTTTGAAGAGGTCACAAGCAGCTTTCATTTCAAAATCATTCCCCTTAACTTACTAATATTGAATTTAAATGAATGGTTGGTTTGGGGGGTGGGGTGTGTGTCTCAGAAACCTCTGTTCTGAGTTACTGAGGTCTGTGCTCTTGCCAAGGAAGGGGAGCATTGCATGGTTGCTTACCGAGTGTAGGGTTTGCATCTGCCTCCTCCGGCCCTGACTTGGATGTTTGGCTGTGGCCACCCAAGGACAGCACGTGCTCATCACCCCAGTTTCTGTCCTCCTGCTTCAGAGATTTTGGTGGAAGGGGCTGGGAAATGGCACCACTGGGAAGTAAAAGCTAAAAAGGAGTGTTGTGTCACCCCTTGAAGCCCCACGTCCCCAGGAGTTAAGCCCCTGCATGTGGCCAACATGACACAGCGAGCACCATCCCTGTCCTATTGCGGCTGTGTGGCTGTAGGATGTGTGTCAAAAGACGTGATAATTCCTGCTGCTGCCACTAAATCTTTCCAAAACTCCTACAGAGATAAGATCCACCCTCTGAAGGACTTCTGCGATTTCCCCTGTTGCCCTATTCCCAGCCGTCTCCCAAGGATAAGACTCCATTGGGCAGAGCAATACCAAGGCATGCAAATCCCTTAACTCCTCTCTCCATCAAATATGATGAATTCAAGTTGATGTTCAGGAGGCTTAGGGATGGACTGCGTGTAATCCTACACCACAAATCACATTTGAACTTGTCTGAAGCAGGAGCAATAAATACAGCAAAATCCAAGCGTTTGGTCCCGGTGCCAGCTGGGCTAATTCCAGAGCCCTGCCTGGATGGACAGCCAGCCCTTGCATCCCACAGCTCTGTGTTAAGGTCAGACAGGGTCTAAAATCACCTCAGAAAATGCTCAGGAGAGGGTTCCACCTGTAGGCCAAAGATCAGAAATGTCATCCCTCCTGCGAGGGATGTGTCTGGGACCAGAAGCCATCAGCTGCTGGCAGGGTGGGGCTTCAGGAGCTGTGAGCTGGCTCTCTGTCCTCTGACACTTATTTTTTAACTGAAACCTGAGTGCAATTAACTATTCCCTTTTTATTGAGATTAAGTATTCCTTCCAGACCTCCTGAATCTGTTTACCTTATCTTTCTTCTGGTAGCCACCACTTTTTCCAACAAGCAGCTGTGAAGGTAATTCCTCACCTCCACCGAGTGCCTCTTCCTTCCCAGACTTGTGCCATGGATTGCAGGTCTCTGCAATAAAAATTCCCTTGTATCTCATATAGATCTCACGCAGCTCTGTCAGGGCAGGGGAGATGGGGACAAGTCTGCTAAGCGAGGAGGAATTGAGGTCCACAGCTTGTCTCGGGTTGTGGGGAGACGTCCCAGAAAATAATTGCACCGTGCAGACACGGGACATGGCCTCAAATTGTGCCAGGAGAGGTTTAGATTGGATATTAGGAAAAATTTCTTCACAGAAAGGGTGGTCAGGCACAGGAACAGGATGCCCAAGGTAGTGGTGGAATCACCATCCCCAGAGGGATTTAAAAGACCTGTGGATGTGGCAGTTGGGGACATGGGTTAGGGGTGGGCTTGGCAGCGCTGGGTTAATGCTTGATGATCTCAGAGGACTTTTCCAACATGAATGATTCTATGATATTATGGTATAGCAGAAATCATGGCTAAGCCATGTGACAGGCTCAAATCACAGGGTAATGTGTTGTCAGCACTTGGAAAAAATGCTTATCCAGGGGGTAAACCCGTCACATGAAACAGGAATGTGGGAGAAAGTCTTGCAAGGAAAGTTTGAGTAGAGCTTGCTGCCTTTTTGCAAAGAGAAAATTAAAAGACTTTCCTTGCCCTAGTGACCCTCAGTCAGTGTGTAGGATTCTCATGTGGTTCTTTGTTTTTAATACAGGCCAAGTCCGAGACAGGATCCGGTATGAGAGAGATGCTGCTGTGAGTAATTATGGTGATCTGCCTTTTAGTGGAGAGAAACCTGTTGGTGCTGCTGGTATTTGGGCCAAAGTGGCTCCTGTCCCTCTTTTCCTAGTCTTGGTCCAGAGCTAGGGCTGTGTGTGGCACAGGGACAACATGCATGCCTGTCTGTTTTCCCACTGAAATGCTGGATCTCTCTCCCCAGCGATTTTTCCTTCAAAATCCTTCCGTGTAAACCAGCCATATTCCCATTTCTGGTAAACTTAAATCACAGAAGAATGAGAATATGTTATGTTGTGCTTATTCCCAGTTTCTCCTGACACTTTTAACTGAGTGCAGTGGGTGATTTGGGGGTGGCACATCCATGCACTAATCTCTCGACAGTTTCCAGCTGGCACAGATGAAGTCAGAGCTCTCCCTTCCCGTCCTTGCCCTGGCACTCGTGGCCTGTGTGAGCACAGCACTGCTGTAAGTAGGAGGAGAATATTTGCTTTGATGTTCATTTTCTCACTGGCTCCACGGGCAGCTTGTTTTACCTTCTCCTTGTTGGGGCAAAAATTGCAGCAACTGGCTGTGGTCATCTCTTTGTAAGAGCAAAATATCCCTACACTCCTGGTTAACCCCGTGGCTTTGTAGGTGGCAAGCTTAAACATCCTGAAATCCTCATAGTTTTTGTGCTTTGAAAACAGAAGTTTCATAAATGGCAAAGGTAAAGGAAGGCTCATCAGCTCCTTGTATTAAATGCATTTATTTAGGTGTGGAAAGAGTCAGTGGTTTTCGAGCACATGTAACTTCTGTTTTGTTTTTCATCGTGCTTCAGGAGTGATACAGGACTTTTTTTATAGGACAAGGCAGCAGAAATCATCTGTGATCTGGCTCTTCACTGGAATGCTCTGTGTTTATTCCCTTTTCTTCGCTTGGAGAGCAAACTTGGACGTTACAAAGCCTCTGTTTCTAGGCGTGGTGAGTTGCACTCCAGAAATTGCTCTGGCGTGTTAATTTTTGGCAGAAACATTAAAAACCCTAAGACCACCTAACCAGGGGACAGATAGTTGTCCTGAAGCTGCATAAGGTGCAAAAATATAGCTACTGATTCTGTTTCCTTATAGCTGGGGACACAGAAACAGGTTCTGTGAGAAGCTGTGGCTGCTCCATCCCTGGAAGTGTCCAAGGCCAGGTTGGACGGGGCTTGGAGGAACCTGGTCTAGTGGAAGGTGTCCCTGCCCGGGGCAGGGGGGTGGAATAAGATGAGCTTTAAGGTGCTTTCCAATCCCAATTCTGGGATTCTGTGGTGTTGTGTCCCAGGTGGAGCGGTTCTGGCTGCAGAGCAGTGCTGTGGTGGCTGTGCTGGCAGGGCTGGGGTTGGCAAACCTCACCTCCCTCGGGAACTCGGTGCTGGAGGGCAGCCGGGTGCTGCCCTGGCTGGAGTGGCTCTCTGCCCTTGCTCTTGTTGCTTCTCAAGTTTGGACAAATTACAGGTAAGGAATCCCCTGGGCACGTTGTCTTGGGGCAGCCCCACAGGGCTGTGGGGTGCTGTGCAGTTGGGATGCCCCTGTGAACCCCCAGCTCCTGCTCCCGGGCTTTCTGTCCGTGTCTGGAAGTGGGAAAGGCACTTCTCACATCCCACCTAAGCTGGCATGGTCACAGCCTGCAGGACTCCCTTGTTTGTTCTCCCTCAGGGTCAGCAAGCACCAGCTCCAGGCTGTAAATGTGGGTGTCATGTAGGTTGAAGTAAGAAAACTCTGTAGATACTCACACTTCTAAAAAAAAACCCTTGTAAATCTGTGCTTTGTTTCCTAAGCAGGTTTGCAGAATTCATTTGACCTGAACTTGCCTTGCTTTCCTTCAGGTTTCCTTATGCCCTGTGTTTTTTTCTGGGTTTTTTTTCCCCATTTTGAAGAGTTAAATCTGTAATGTGGGGCTTCCTTGTCCCACAAGCACCTGCAGTCACTTGGGCAGGAATCAGTGTCCTAGTAGGGATGCTCAGGTAGAGGCTGACCAACAGAACATAAATTTCATCCTCAGGAGTTTTTCCTTTGCACACATCTTTTCCAAAGGCTTGTCCATAGGTGAGCCAATCATAGCTCATGTCCTGAGCCAAGTCATGGAGTGTCCTCTTCTTGCGTCCACTCTGTGCACACACAAAAGTGTGTAACAAAAAGGATATAAATGTCAGGTAATGTGAATCTACTTCTGCCTGATGCTACAAAAACTTGGCTTTTCAATGCTTAATTAAAAGCACTTCTAATGCTTAATTAAAACATTAAAGGATGAGTAAGATTACAGGTACTTTACAGAGCAATCATTGTACTGGCGCTTCCAGCACCAACGAGTAACACTTTAGCTTAACCCAATAAAAAGAATCAGAATTAAGGTGAAGGAGTGCAATGAGTTCATATTTTGGCTGAACTGTAGAGGTTCATATTTGTGGTGCTGGTTTCTGGGGGACTGTGGTCTAAATGTTTCATCTCTGTGTCTCAGTTTCTCTTGAAATGGAGATGATTAAGTTGGAATGATTAAGTTGTTGATGATGCTCCATCCCTGGAAGTGTTCAAGGCCACACTGGGCAGGGCTTGGAGCAACCTGGGATAGTGGAAGGTGTCCCTGCCCATGGCAGGGGTGGTGGAACAACATGATCTTTAAAGTCCCTTCCAACCCAAACCATTCTGTGATTCTGTGATGCTTCCAGCAAGATCTGATTGGGCTGGATTCCTGTGGTTGCATAAAATTGTTGTGAAGGTATGCAAAGCCATGCAAATACCTGGTTTTAAGAGACTGGTTTTTGTCTGTCCTCCTAAGTGCTTGTGATCAGAGCAACAACTACGTTGTTGACAAGTTTGCAAGGAATCTGCTGTCCTCTATGCCCGTGGGTGCAGTGATCCTGCTGAGAGGAGACTTACCTGGGAACGCTCTTCGTTACCTTCACTACTGCGAAGGGATGAGGCCAGATGTCACCTTAGTGGACCAGGAGGTAGGTTCAGAAAGTGCTGTTGAAGGAGTCAACAGGCAGATTGAAACACAGGAAGCAAAAGTTCTGTTGTTCCTTCATCTCCCTGAGAGGGTCTCTTTGTTCGAATAAGACTCACGATGTAGAAATAAATAGAATTGGTATTTTTTAAAAGGGTTGTGGGGGTAGCCCTGGGATGGAGCATGATGTTCAAGGCTCGTTCAAGCCCAAAAAGCCACCAGTGAGGCAATAGTGGGTAGAGAGATGGGAAAGCCAAATTCCTTCATCACTGCAGATATCCAGATGTGCCGCAGGGCTGGTGTTTGCCTTGCTGAGGAAGTTTGTCCCAGCTGTTTTCTGCAATTGCCCCAAAATACAGATGTTGGGGCAGATGAAGACGACTTCTGGGATCAACCTGGAGGTCAGCAGGGCAGCAGTTGCCCCATGGATGATGCAGCTTTGGGGTTTCTCCTGAGGGCTTTACCATACTGAGGCTCATTCCCTGCATCCCCTCTGTTACCTTGGTGGGTTTACCCACTTCTCTCCCTGTTTTTTTACGAAAGATTGAGGTGCTGTGTGTCCCTGGGTGATGTTTTCACTCTCTCCTTTTTCACTGAGCCAAAAAAAAACCCTCTTACGGAACAGAACACCTACATTTCTACCACCACGTCATCCTCGCACTTGGCTTTGCAACAGGAGTTTGTGACTTGCTGGCAGCCCCCAAACCCGAAACCTCCTGTTTAACCAAACCAAATCCCTCCGTTGTGTCTCTTACCAGCTGTTTTGTGTTAGAGTGAGGACCACGTGCCTCTGATCAGTCAGCACTGGTGACCCAGTGTGGTGGGGTGGTCCCAGCCACTGCTGACAGGGGAGGTGACTTCACTGAGCAAACAGTCATCACTCCTTCAAAACCCGTTTCTTCTGGATGTCAAATGGGTGAAAACTTGGAATTCTTGTTTTAATTACAGTGTTATTTTTTATGGATAGATGATGACTTATGAATGGTATTTACCCAAGCTGGCAAAGCATTTACCTGGCGTTTCTTTTCCTGGGGACCGGTGGAATCCTGTGGAAGGAGTATTACCCGACGGGACGCTCGCTTTTAATCTCCATCATTTCCTCAAAGTAAATAAACAGTAAGCGTTTCTTTCATATGTAACAGCTTTCCTAAAATCTTCAACCTTTTTTTTTTTTTTTTTTTTTATATTTTTTTTCCCCTACATATTGTTTATGGAACAGCTTGGTACTGAATCCAAAAGACCAATTTTCTCCACTGACTTCCTCCCTGGTGGCGAGATTATTTTTGCAATTAAAGCAAATATCTGTGCAGGAGTAACTCCATCCGGATATAATGTTGCCTGTTGTTTTGAGGCTACTTTTGGTTTTTAGGAGGGAAAAATAAGAAGGTGATGATCACAGTGTTTACTGATCATTTCTTTTGTTGTTGTTGATACAATTCATCACGGGAAAAAAAGGAACGTTCCCGTGCACTCAAAACGATGACGGTTGGAGAGCAAATTGCTGCTGCTTCTCCTTTGTGAACGTTGTGGCCAACTGATTAGCATAGAATGAATGTATTCCAGGAATAATCATCATATAAAAATAGCTTAGTAAGAGTGGAGAAAGGATTAGATACTCACATGAATAAGAATAGCATCTGCATTTAGAGTAGCCGGGGTGAGCCTGGCGAGGGTGGGGAGGTAGGAGAAGAGCAGAGCCAGGTGCTGTCAGGAAGAAATGGGCTTCTCCTACGGCTTCTGGCATGTTTGTGAGGTCCAGGAGAGGGGAGAGGATGTGCCACCTGTGCTGGCTGCACAAGATGGGCAATGCCAGATGGGGTATTCGCTTGCAGCAGAAGAGCTGTTTGGCAGACTGACCCAAAACGTGCCCTTTCTGATGTGAGATGGTCTGGACAGGTATCTGTGCCACAGGAAGAGTTGTGCTGCACAACTTAGATCCACATGTAAAAGCCAGCCCTCAGCCTCCAGTATGACCCTGTTTCAGTGCAAAAAACACAAAAGAGAGTTTGTTTAACAGTGTCCGTTCTTCCTATCACACCTCAGCCAAAAATGTAACCCCAAGGTTTAATTTCGTGCACAAAATTATATCACTAAGAGAGATCACAGGAAGCAAACTCACCCTGTGACATCTTTCAAGAGCTTGTTTGGTTTCTTGCAAAAGCTTAACCACCACTTCTTGTGACAGGAAAGTTTCCCCGTGTGTGTCAATGCTTGGCCCCAAGGGTAGGTTTGTACGTTGCCTCAATCTCTCTTTGAGGTCTTGAATGCTGGAACAGAAACATTCCCAGAGTAGATTTCACTGGATGGAAACTTTGATACTCAAATTCAACAACTATTTAGGATGTTTTAGTTGTTAAGTTAAGAAACCCTGTGTGTGTGGTTTGCTCAGGGACAATGGGGTGGCCCGTGGTCTGCCACAGCTTCACAATTGCTCTCTCTTGGTTTTTTTTTTGGCAGTAAGGAGGTGTTTGTCTGCATAGGTCTTCATGAAGGAGACTCGACCTGGAGAAGGAGCCATTCGCTCTGGCCGTGGGGGACGTGTGAGAAGTTGGTTCCTTCCAGTGTTGTGTTCGACCCAGGAGAGTGGATTCGTCTCACCAGGGATCTCTATAACTGGACTGAAGACTATGGCAGGTACAAGGCAGAGGAGACTCTTGCTCCTTCCTGCTCGTCATTCTTCTGCCAGCAGCACTGCCACGTCCTCTGCAGTGTTGCAGGAATTACCATGAGCCAGGATCAGGATGGTTTGTGTTTCGATAGATATAAGGAAGAAATTCTTCCCTGTGAGGGTGGGGAGGCCCTGGCATAAGTTACCCAGAGAAGCTGTGGCTGCCCCATCCCTGGAAGTGTCCAAGGCCAAGGGCTTGGATGGGGCTTGGAGCACCCTGGTCTAGTGGAAGGTGTCCCTGCCCATGGCAGAGGGTTTGGAACTAGATGATCCTTAAGGTCCCTTCCAACCCAAACCATTCTCTGATCTCTGATTTTTATTAGTGTGAAAAATAGTGAGGACATTTCTAATCAAGTATCAGCTCCAATTCTGACCTTAAAACTGGAACAGGAGCTAAAATCATTGAGGACTTGAGACATCCAGAGGTTTAAATGTCGCAGACTGACCTGCCATGGTAAAAGAAAACATCTCTCACTTCGAGAACTGGGATGCTGTGAAACACCTGATATGCCAGAGGCTCCTTCTTTGGAGAGAGTGGAATAAAGTTTAGGAATGACAAAGGATCAGCTGAATTCCCTGCTGTCAGAGCCATGGGCTTCATGATGGGTTTTCTTCCCCTTGGGAGGCCTGTAGCTGCCTGGGTTGGAAGGGTTGTGGTGGGTGAAGCTCAGTGGCACGGATCTGATGGCTGAATTTTATTCTCATTCCCATTTAGTTTCAGCCCCTCTTCCTGGGAAGCTGTTGCCAACGAGGAGATGTGGCAAGCCAGGTAATTCTCCTTTGCTGCCTTCCAACAGCCAGTGGGCAGTGCCAGCTCACTGGTGTGGAAACACACACCAAAGCGGGCAGCTTGATGGGGCATGGCCTTATTGGATCCACGTGTGTGCCAAGCTTTGGAAGGAAAAGGCTGGCAGGACGAGGTGAAGCGTGCAAGGACTCCAGCAAAGCCTTCAGGAGAGTGCTTGTTTTGTTCACCTAAAGGTTCTGCTCAAAGTATCTCAAGGGAGCAGAACGTAGTTGGGGCTGAGGGTGAGAAAATACATCGTGGAGGGAAATTTGTGTCACTGATGACTCAAATGGAGGTGCTGGTGTTCTGTCCCATACACGGGTAAACACGCTGAAGGTGTGTATAACCATGTGATGTGAGCTGGTTGCATTAAGCAGTTGCTACATGGAAGTTTTTCTTGTTTTCCCAGGATGAAAACAGCTTTCTTTATATTTGACCTTGCAGAGAGTGCCAGTGTGAGTGCAGAAATGAAGTCACAACTTTACACATTTGCATACAACGTAAGTCATCTGTTTGGGTTAGGAATGCCCCCTGCAGCCTCCATCTTTTTTTTTTTTTTTCCCCTTTTTCTTTTACAATTCTTGACTCCACAGAAACATGTTTCCATACAGGCCCTGTAATCTGCATTCCCCTTGTTTATCCAAACTGGGAGCACGGCCGATTCAAAGAGATTTGCTCGGGGATTTTATCCATTCCTACTTGCCCCCTCGGTCACAGAGGATGCCAAAAGCTAACCAGTCAACACCCTGCTTTTGCTATAATTATGTTGTCTGTGCTGGGCTCCAAACCCATGCCAAGAGATTGCTTGTCCTGAAGTTCCCCCTATGCACTTGTCCCCTCTGTCATTACACAGTCATGCATCTGAGCCAGCAAGTGTAAAATCCGACAGTCTTCTCGCTGCAAATTAATTCTGCTGCATTTCACACCAAAGAATAACACCCATAAGCTGGTGTAGGTATCTCTGGAAATACTGGACTGCCTGAGATGCCAACAGATGCACGAAGTGATCAGTGTGTGTCAGCAGAGAGGAGCAGCATTTCACACCCCAGCAGAGAGTCTACAAATATTTTCCTTGATTCTTACCCGTTTTGCTGCGATTTTTTTTTGTTTTGCTGTTCTGCAAAGTTCTCAGGCATGTGCCTGCTGTTGAGCTTATGAATATTCCCTCTCAAGTCAGCAGACTCCTTAAGTCCTGTGGAAGACGTCCTGATCTCCTGAAATATTGAATAAATGTCTTCCAGGCGCGGCGGTTAAATCTCTTTTTTTTTTCCCCCAGCTTGGTGTAACACCTCTCTGGGGGAAGCGCATAATGTGCCGTAGGGTTATCACCATCATCTGTAATGTTTCTAAACAAACAGCTGCTGTCGGAAGGGAAACGTTTCAGCCCCCCCTTGGGTTTCTGATTCATGCTGTTGAATGGCAAACACAGAGTGAATTACAGAAATACTCCGACTCTGGACTTGGACAATTCTAAATAGCATCTGTTCCTTCGCAGGCAGTTTTGAAACACTGTTAAGAGCTGTTGGTCCCCTTAGTTCAATTAATTTGCACCCCCCCTCCCTCTTCTTTCTTTTTTTTTTGTTTTGTTTTGTTTTGTTTTGTTCCTGTAACAGTCATACAAAGAAATTGTCAACTCTCATCCCAATCACCCGGTGAACTGGCACAAAAACTACGCCATCGCCTGCGAGAGGATGTTGCGTCTCCGTCGGGGGGACCTGGATCCCGAAACGCTGCTCTCTGAAACTGTGAAACATTTCCTGCTGTACACCCAGAAAGCAGAGGATGATCCCCAGCGCCAGGACATCCTGCAGGCTGTGAAGCACCTGGAAAAGGAGCTGCAGGGGCTGAGGAAAAGGAAAGCAGACCTGAGGCGGGGAGCTGGGTAGCGCCCGGTCCTTCAGGCGCCTGCTGAAGTTTGAAGTCAAGGCTTGACATCTGAGTTAGTCCTTGACAACGTGAGAATGGTTTTTAAAAGGTGGCAGAACTGACAACAGAGAGGAAATCAAGTGTGCAGGAACATGCTGATGTTTGGTCTTCGACTGCTGTTGCCAAATGAACTTTAGGGGTTCAGGGAGGAAACTCGTCACTAAATAAAATACTGGGTTTTAAAAAGGAACATTTTCTTCTAAAAGGAACATGTGATTCTATTGTACTGTGAACATATTTTTTAAAATGAGTGCAGCATCCTTTATAGATGTAAAAATGCATTTTGCATTTCATTGTTTCCTCTGTTACTGAGCCAAGAGCTTTCCTACAGCCATTTTTCGGTAGCTGTTCTGTGTCTGTGTGGTTTTATGGTCATGGGGCAGCGTGGTTAGGTGGGTTTCCCTCAGGACAAGGATGTGGGATGGTGCCCTCACAGGAGCCTGTTTTGAATGTGCTCTGTGCCCTGGCTGTGCCTGTGCCCAGAGGTGCTTCAGAACCATAATCAGAGAATATTTGGGGTTGGAAGGCAACTTAAATACTATTTTATTCCACCCCCTGCCATGGGCAGGGACACCTTCCACTATCCCAGGTTGCTCCAAGCCCTGTCCAATCTGGCCTGGAACACTCCCAGGAATGGGGCAGCCACAGCTTCTCTGGGCAACCTGTGCCAGGGTCTCACCACCCTCACAGCCTAGAATTTCTTCCCAATATCCCATCTAATCCTGCCCCCTGTCAGTTTGATGCCAAACCCCTTGTCCTGTCACTCCATGCCTGTGTAAATAGTCCTTCTCCAGCTCTCTTGGAGCCCCTTTAGGTACTGGTGCCTAATGTTTTTTTCATTACACTGGGATTATTTTTTCTCGTAGATTTTATTGCTCTAGTTTTCCAACAGTGAGCAAGCAACTTGAATATTTTCTCTTGCAGAGCACTGGCAATCTGCAGGCAGCAGTTTGGCACCTCCTGCACTGCCTCCACCTGGGGTGGAGGGTCTGTAGTCCTGAGACTCCACAAGGGAACACAAGAGCAGCTCCCATGGGACACTGCCTCTCCCTGTGGTTCATGACATCTGTCCTGTGGCCTCTGTTTCTGTGTAATTCCATAATGCTCATCTACTCTGCCACATCCCCTTGGGTACTGGGGATTCCAGAACTGCAGTTTTAGAGATATCGGGGGGCTTTAACCAAATGAACAGGTGTGAATCCATCCTGCCTTTCAATCTACCCCAAAAACCAAGAGACTTGGTAAACAAGAGCTCAGCTACTTAAAAAAAAAAAAACCAAACAAAACCCAAACCTAAACAAAACAAAAAAGCAAACCACCATGTTTTTCAAAATGTTGCCAGTTAACCCTTAAATCAAATGCTTAAGGCAGACCCGAAACCCTGGTGTTGTCGCTGAGAGTTGTGTTCATCTAAATTTTCACGCTTTGTTCAGTGGTTCTGTGAGGTCTCAGCCCAGTGTTTCGCAGCAGACAAGTTGCTGCCAGGCCAGGTTTCATTTGGACTAGTGAAATTTTCACAGGAGAAAGAAGCAAGTCTGTAAAGTTCATTTTATGAAATGGCACCTCTGGAAGCTTCCCCGAGGCTTGGAGGAGCAGACTGGGATGTGGGCAGGAGCGAGGGGTGTTGCAGGTGGATGCTCTGTTGGTCTGTAGTTTTGAGTTGTGTGTAGGGACACGTGGCCCCTATTCCTTACAGATCCCTTTAAAAGTGGACTACTTTTTGTCTCCAAGTGCTGATTTTCCCAACTTTCATTGGATGTATAAAAATTTCCCCGTGTAAAAATCAAGCTGATGTCTAAGAATCTCTTAACTCCAGTTGCACGGTAACATCCTTTATTTTTCACCCTCTCACTCTGATTTATTTTTTGTAGTATGACTTCCAGAGCTGTTCCCCCCGTCACTACTAAAAACCATTCCTGTGCAAAGAGCAGGTGAGAAATGAGCAATAAAAAGGAGGAAAACCGCAGTTGCTGGGTTGCAAAGCCACAAAGCAGAGGGGTGAGAAGGAAGAGGAGCAGTTCAGGGGTGTCATTTTAACTCTTTGTGTAGTAATTGACTACATTTCAGGTCGGCTGTGCCTCACTTAAATCTCTTCCTACTCCTCAATCCCTTGCAGAAGTGTTTGCACAGAGCAGGGGGAATATCATGCATTCCTCTGTGCAGCTTTCTCAGGGCTGGCTTTCTTCTCCCTTCTCCAAACCAGTCCTTCAGCCTGGCAGAAAAAGCATTAGGAATCCAATTTTTGAATGCTTTTGTTACCTGCATTATTGCAGGTCCATTCAAGCAAATATACTGAGCCGAGGGTTTTCTTTATCTTGATTAGATGCCCCTCCTTGGCCGCATAGTCTTGAAATAATTGGAAGCTTTTGTGGATTCCACTATCTGCTCTGGAGGAAAGAAGGGGCTGTATACCAGCCTGCAGCCTGCACCCGCTAATGTGTCATCTTACCTTGCAACAAACAGGGATGGAAACTACAAGAAGAGCTTTCCCGGTGGCAAAAGCCTTCCCGGGTGTGAAGAGCAGTGGAAAGGGGATGCTTTCTCAGGGAGGAAAGCACAGCCATGGTGTTAACCTGTCTGTGCTGGGTGTTCAGCTCAGAGATACCCCACGAAGGGGGAAGTGTTTTAACAGTGATGGAACTTCCGAAATTCCTCCCCCCTGAACCTGTTCAAATGAGATTTGCTGGTGCTTGCAGACGAAGCCGTTGCGTGGATGTCGCTGAGCCTGTTGGCTAAAAGGCAGAGGGATGCTGGCAGAGTTTAATTTTTATCAGCTCCTCTTAGGTGGCACCCTGAAGTTTATCAAACAAGCAAAGCTGATTTGCTCTTCGTTAGTCTCAGTTGCATGAATTGGTTGCCAAGTAAACAGGATTTTGCATTTTCCTAATTACTTTCATATTTGTGTTTTACCTCTATTTGTTCTCTTGCGAAACTGGTCCTAATAATTAGTCAGTCTCCTGCTGCCTAGACCTTAAAAAAAAAAAAAAAAAAGGGTGGGGGGAGAGGGGAAAAAAAGGCTTCTGAAGGTTTTTTTTTCTCCCTTATAAATTCATTTTTGTTACAAGCATCTTTTATACATATTACTAAAGGGAGTGCACTAAGAAATGCAAATAATAGTTCTTTATTTTATTATGACAGTTAATTAATAGCAACCTGTTTTAATGAATAAAGTCACTCAGAGTCCTTCAGCACTTCCTAAGTAGAGGCCAGAATCTGTAGGGATTCTTTTTTCCCCCCCATTGTATAGCTCCAAGACTCCGAACACTATATAGGGCCTGTATAGAAATGCTCGCTAATGAAGAGGGAGGGCGAGGAACTTGTCTGCATTCAAAGATCACTGGTGAGTCATTCAGCGAGAAAAGGCCCCTTGCTAGGAATAGTCACAGTTCCGCGGCATTGTGCTGGCAAAAGGGTTTGATCAAAGGTCTCCTGCCGAGCTTGCATGGTTTCCTTTCATACGACGACCATAATTAAAACCACTAATTCTCTTTTAAAATGCTGCAGGATGCCATGTAGGCATCTGTCTGGAGTGTCCTTTGTGCTGTCGGGAGCTGTTAAGGACCAGCGCCGAGGGCTTTTCAGCGACATGCCAGTCAGGAAGGTGATTCGACATAAGGGTGCCTCTGAAGGCTTGACAGGGCCTTGACTACACAATTCCAGCTGAATTTGCCCCTTGTCAGCTGCCAGTAAATAAATCTCAAAGAAGAAGGAGGTGGTGGTGGTGGGGGGGGGGGGGGGGGGGGGGGGGGGGGGGGGGGGGGGGGGGGGGGGGGGGGGG